ATTATTTTTGTGTGAGTGTACCGTCAAATCAGATCTGACTGGTACAGGAGGAGATTGCCCCTCCTTCCCCGGCAGAGCATCTGGTGGATTCGAACCGTGCACCTCTGGGATTGTAGTAATATTTACTCTTCTCTCTGTGCCTTCCCTACCCGCACAGCCATCCCAAGAATGAGTCTATCTGTGTGTCAACTTTTCAGAAAGAGGTTTTTAATTTATTTGCAAACAAGAATTCATTTACACTGTGTTTCAGCCAATCTTTCATTTACATTGTGTTTCATACAATCGTTCATACACATTGTATTTCATATAATTATTCTCATCTCTGCCTGTTATTACTCCATAGTTTGGTGTCCACATTAAATTTTTCCTAGATCTGCACCCCCTACCCCCCTACTAGCCTCTACTCGCCTAGTGATTTTGCCCTTTTCCACCCCCTTACCATTTCCCCTCCGCCTTCTAGTCGCCTTTGCTATAACAGTGTAAGGTTCTAAGTCTTCACTGAAGCAGACCGCTCCATCTTGGAGTTGATTAGCAGCAAGGGCCTCAGCCGTAGTGCCACCAGCATTCCTTCTATGACCACTTGCCTCTGTGCTTCCCTAGTGGATGGTCAGCTGGAGTGTCCTCCCCGAGGTCCTCTGTCTGGGAAGACGCTCTCCCTGGGAAGGCCCTCTAACTTCGAAATGCCCTATATGGGGAAAGCCCTCTCTCTGCCAAGAGTCTCTACTGGGGAATGCCTTCTTCCTGGGAAAGCACTCTCTCTGGAAAGGCACTCGCCCTGGAGGACCTTCTACTGGGGAAGGCCCTCTACTTAGGGATGCCCTGTCCCTGGGAAGGCCCCCTGGGAATGAGAGCAGAATCTCCCTTCCCTCAGTGGAAACTGCTCTCCCATGGTTTGGGGGCCCTGGAGAATGGCTGGGCAGATCAGGTTAGCATGAGGTGACTCATAGGGTCTCCACTCACCTGCCTCGTGGTCCACCCCTTACAGGCGGGGTTCTTTCTGCCCCTGAGTGGTGGGGTGGACAGCGCAGCCACCGCCTGCATCGTGTTCTCCATGTGTCATCAAGTGTGTGAGGCCATCAGGAGTGGAAGTAGGTGGCACTGGGCCTGGGTGCGAGTGTGGTGGTGGCAGGCCTGCCTTGGGGGGGTTGGTGGAGCTGGTGTGGACAGGGTGGACACCAGGTCTAGGGCCTCCTGGGTGGAGGAAGTACACGCAGACAGACAGCACTATGTCCACGCCCCGGGCCCAGGCAGCCAGCAGCCACACTGCAGCCCTGCCTGGACTGTGGCCTGACGTGCTGCAGTCCTGCCTTCTGTGGGCCGTGCTGTCTGCTGGACTAAGCCTGGCCTTTGGGGTCAGGCAATCCTCCCACTGTGGCCTCACACACAGCGTGTCTGCACCTGGGAGTCCTGGGGGAATGGTACATAGCCAGTTACTGCTAGCAGAAAGGTTAGCAGTTCAAATCCGCCTGCTCCCCTGAGAGACAGAGATGGGCAGTCTGTCTAGAAAGACTTACAGCCGTGGAAGCCCAATGATGGTCACAGTGAGTCCGAACCAACCAGGAAGCGCTGGGTTTGGGTTTGGAGTGTGTGTGCTTGGGGCTCAGGTGAGGCTCACTGAGGGGCAGTGGTGGCTCCATGGTAGGGTCCTCACCCTCCATGCAGGAAATGCAGGTTCACTTCCATCCAGGGCACCACACGCACAGCCTCCGCCGTCTATCAGGGACGCCCCTGTGTTGCCACGATGCTGGGCAGGTTTCAGCTTCTGACTAAGACTAGGGAGAAAGACCTGGTGATCTGCTGGGAAATTAGGTGGAGGAAGCCCCATGGACCACAGTGATCCGGTCTATGACGGGACGCAGGATGGTACATGTTGGGGGTGGGGTGCGCAGAGCAGCCCGCAGCAACCGTGGCCGCAGTGGTCATCAGTAGCTCAGCCAGTGAGGGATGCTGACTGCATGGCTGGTGCTCACTGCCCCATGGTTTTCAGATGAGCAAGTATTGACTGATGTCCGGGCCATTGTGAGTGAGGCCAGCTACACCCCACAGGATCCCCGAGACCTCTGTGGACGGCTGCTGACCACTTGCTACATGGCCAGTGAAAACTCCTCCCAGGAGACCAGCAAGCGAGCCAGGGAGTTGGCCCAGCAGATTGGAAGGTGAGCAGGTGGCCACTGGCCCTGGGCATGCTGGGGACAGAAATTAGGACCTCTGAGACTCTGGGTGGGAATGCTTCGGGGTTTAGCCATTTATGTAGGAGTTTACCATTTAGAAGAGAATCAGAAGATCCGCCATCTGGGAGTGGACTGAGGCTTTATCAGGAGTGACCAGGAGTCCGCCACCTAGGACTGGATGTCCATCTCTTGGGGCGTTTTCCACCTGCCTGCCACGGTCTCTCTCTCTGTCCCTCTCTGTGTCCTGGGCAGGCATGAGGCTTGTCTGTCGTGTGGGAGGAGTTCCATGCAAACCGACAGGCGGGGCTCAGGTGGGCCTCAGAAGGAGGAGAGAACATCCCCCTCCCTTCTCACTGCATCCTCTAGCCTCCCACCCCCACCCCAACTGCTGTGTCCACCTGCTTTGTCCTCTGTCCTGAATGACGGAGGCAGGAGGACTTCTTACCAGAGTGGAGAAGCCTGGCCCTGCCAGGAAGCCCCATTCGTGGTGATTCTTTGGAGGAGCAGAGCATGGCCATTCCATTTGCCGAGCTTAGCTAGAAGCTGCCCTGGCACTTCCACTCCTGGACACACAGCACAGGGTGAAAAGGTCTGTCCAGGCTGGGCATGACCACTGGGGTCCATTGGAGCACTGCTGACCACAGTCATATGGTGGACAGCCAGATGTGCCGCAGCAGGTGACACAGCCACACAGTGTGGCCCGGCCACGCATGGAGTGTCCCTCAGCCGTAAAGGGGAGTGAGGTCCTGATACCTCCTATGACCTGGATGGACCTGGAGAATGTGATGAAGTGAAATAAGCCAGCCACGGGAGGACAGACAGTGTGGATCCGTCAGAGACTAGACACAGCGGACCTGTGGTGACTAGACCTGGGGTGTGGGGGAGTGGAGGTGGGGAGCAACAGCTTCATGGGACAGTCAAGGGATTGTTCCAGAACCAGGCAGGGGAGGAGGCTGCACGCTGCAGGGAGTGTCCTGAGCATCATGGCATTGTGCCCTCCCAGGGCCAGTGTGTTTGCGCGCGCGCGCGCGCACACACACACACACACACACACACACACACACGCACACACACCTGCACCTCCTGCTCCCCACTTCCCTTACAGCTGCCACAGAGGTCTCAGCACCTGGTGTATTTGCACACCTGAGTGCACGTGCACACACGCACACACACATGCACTCAGAGCTCCTCCCCATGCTCTCTGCTTCCCTTGCAGCCATCACATCGGTCTCAGCATTGACACCGCCGTGCAGGCCATTGTGGGCATCTTCAGCCTGGTGACAGGGCTGCGGCCGCTGTTCGCTGCACACGGGGGCAGCAGCAGGGAAAACCTGGCTCTGCAGAACGTTCAGGTGAGTCTGGCTGGCCGTGATGCAGGGCCACAGGGCTGGTCAAAGGGTCAGGGTGGCAGCTGCGTGTCACCTGACTTTGAGGCCTGTGGCCTTGGGACAAGCTCTGAGTCTGTGTGTGTGCAGGAGTGTGTGCATGTGTGCATATGTGAATTTACAAGTGAATGTGTAGGTTACTAAGAATGTGTAAATGACTGTGAAATGTTGCATGTGCCATAGTGTGCAAGCTGTGTGCATGTGCGGTGGGTGTGACTGTGGATGTGAGTGTATATACAGGTGTGTATATGGGGAGTGTGGATGTGGGTGTGTACAGGTGTGGATGTGGGGTGTGGATGTGGGTGTGTACAGGTGTGCATGTGCAGTGGGTGTGGATGTGGGGTTATGTACAGGTGTGTATATGTGGGGTGTGGATGT